CTACTTCACAGGTTTCTAAACTAATACGCTTATTTCAGACTTTAAATAATATACTTATTTCAGATTTGGCATGGTTAGAACTGTTTCAGTTTAGGTTTAACTGTGTAGAAACAAGGACATTTGTAGTTTGGAAATTCTACAAGGGTTCTACTCCAATAAGTCATGTAATCACCTTTTATATTTATCACGAGCTTGCTTTCCTATCTAGCTTTAAAAAATGTTGCATTAAATAATGTACACTATTTCCTTATTTAATTCCCAGTTTCATTTCAGTAGGCCTAGCAGTCATAATTGAAGACACTTTTGCTTCTTGTTTTTAAAGGCTGTGTTGTATTAGAGTTACTTGTGAGACCGTTATAAAACATGGTAATCCTGGGTGGGTGTAAGTGTTTATGGGCCTGGTACAGTGGAGAGGAACCCTTCAGTGGATCCTTTTGTTCAGAAATTTATTCTTGAATTCAGAAATCAATTATCTTTTCTTTTAAAATTCCATATAAGGTTTGACATCTGACATTTACTAAAAAGTTTCAAGCTGTGCTTTCTCAGTTTATTTTTCTCTCCTGCTCCTACAATGATAGTTCTTTTTCTTGAGTCACACAACACAACTGTTGTTTAAAGAAAGGCAAATGTAGACTTAGACATGGCTTAGACTATAAAAGCACACAATCTACTTATTTTTACAATGTGACTTATCAAACTGTTTCTTTTCTTTTATGTTAAGTACTAAAGGAATTTGATCTGCTGAATTCCAGTGCTGGCACAAATTGGGACTTAATGGAATGTTTGTAAAATGACTGAATTAATAAATAAGAATTTTAGGGCCTAAACAAATCTTGGGATTCTAAATAGATATAATAATACATTTTCTTCTCCCTCCTTGCAAATCTAAACACAACATTATACTAACTATATGTAAGTCAAGGACTTCGGGGTCAAAGAAAAGGCCTTTCATATGAATGTTTTCAAATTAAATTATGCACAAACTTAGCTCATTTTATCCATGGCCGCCCAGTACACAGCCTGAGTTCTACATGAACTGGAAATCGTCTCATCCCTTACCAGTGCTTCTGAAATTTAATGTGCACATGAATCTCCAATGTTGAATAAGGCCACCATCATCATAGAAAAAATAGCAGTGAAATCCAAGGATAATTATTTGTAAACCTCATCAAACTTTTAGTTTTGGTTCAGAAATCTCATGTCTGTGCTTTTCTGTAAAACTCACTTAATTATTTAATTTCAGCCCACCTCCTTTGGAGATGATTCTAATACTGACAAACCTTTGTCTTTGGGTGAAAGAAACTATGAACTTCAAAATTACACCAAATAATAACAACATGATAAGTGAACTCAATTGCAAAAGTTTGAAATTTTGTGTTAAAAGTTTTACTCTGGGGTAGTTTGGATTTTAGCTGAACTGGTTTACCTATCCTGAGATTAGATAGATACTAAGAGAATTACTGAATTAAAGGAAGAAGAAATTTAAGGTATTTCTATTAAATTACATGAGGCCTAAAGAAAACTGATTTTTTTTGGGGGGGGGATTCTAAAGATTATGTACACAGACCAGTCAACATTAAAGTAATGGAAATTTGATGGAGAGGATAGTGGCAAAATTCCTCCATTTTCAGGCCTGAGAAGGGCTTTTGTTTGGGAGAGGGTTAAGGTTTGGGTCTAGCTGTCCCCCCAGAGCCTCATGTGGTCATGGGCTGGGTCCAGGGTGTGTGAAGCTGGAACTGATTCATGGTGCAGTGCTAGGCTCAAGGGCACTGGGACGAAGGGGGTGAGTGCTGCCTGCCCTAAGGGGTCCGAATAAGATAAAAGGGGCAGGGAGACATTAAGTTCCCCTTGTTGCCTTGTGCATGCCATGTTGTTTCTCCTCTGTGAAGCCTGTTTGCCATCCCAGCCACAGAGCCAGACAATTATGAACTGAAACCTCTACTAACTGTGAGCCAAATGAACCTCTTCTTTAACTTTTGGCGTCTGGTATTTTGTCTCGGCAATGAGAGAAAAATAACTAACAGAGAGAGGAATTTGGTAGTTTTCTGTAGGGGTAGGAAGTGGTCATCCATTGTGGCAGCTCAGAATGCCACCTTCTTAGTAGAGTGACCTTATCCATAAAGTTGCACCTCTAAAAACAATGGTAACGCTGATGACAAAAATGGCATTTGTTACGTATTATTATGTAACATACACAATGCTCTGTATGAATTACCTAATTTTAATCTCCATATAGTAATCCCATGAGATGGAAATATTTGTAGTCTGTTTTATCATCAAGGAGACAGAGGTTTAGCGAGATCACTTAACTTGTACAATGTCACTAAGCTCATAAATGACAGAGTTAGAACTTGAACAAAGATCTGTCTGATTTCAAAGCCCATGTCAACAAAAATAATAAAATCAGTGAGAAATACTAAACTCATATAAAGACATTGGAAACAATAGAATGATATAGTTAAAAGTGTGTGTATTTGCTAAGATTTGGCTTCAAAGGTCTCTGTCTATCTATCTATTTATTTATTGGTACATGGGAAATGAAGAGGGGACCTTGCACTTGTGAGGCAGGCAGCAGAACCATTGAGCTAAATCCCCAGACTGAAGGTCTCCATTTTAAATCAAAAGATTGAATGTTGGAACTGTCTGTTTTCTACTGCTAGTCTAAAATATTTCAAGGTAATCATGTTTATAAGTCAATAAAGATCTCTAACCTCCAAAGTGAAAATTGAATATCCTCAAATTAAACATTATTGGGATAGGAATTTAGCTCGGTGGTGTTGTCACCTGCCTCATAAGTGCAAGGTCCTGAGTTTGATCCCTAGTACGAAACAAACAAACACACACCCCATTATCTTTTAGATTAGGTTCATGGAGAAAAAGCTTACAACAGTATGACAAGGGAGAAAATGTTTGCAACATGTAAAACCAACAAGTACACATCACATATATAGAGAGCTCCTGAAAATTAATTAAGACCAGGATAAACAACTCAAAAGAAAGCAGCCTGAGAACACAAACAGCTGACTCAGAAGTACAAAGTTACAAAAGAAGCTCAACTCACCAACAAATAAGTTCACTAATCAGTAAATAAATAAACCCTACTCATCTAGCAGATTGATACACTTTTTTTGAAAACAATTTTAGTTTAAAATATGCCTTATTCTTTGACCTAATAGTGCTCCTTCTACAATCTATCCCATTTGTGTAAAGATGGTCACTTGTATATTCCTATGTTGTAATAAAAACTGGAAATAACTCATAAATTGTATGTAAAAATATATGTGAATTGAGAAAAAGCCAGGATTAGGTTGATATTTGTAGCCTGCTTCTTCTATTTTAACAGGCATATTTTAATATTTTTAAATATAAGTGAATGTAAGGTAGATCAATGGGGAGATGTCAGTATAATTTAGGGAAATCTTGGGAAGGGTATATACCAGATTGGCAGATGTAAGATAAGATAAAATGAGCATAGGATTTTACTACTTTATTTTTATTTATTTATTTAGGTACCGGGGATCAAATTCAGGAACTTGTGCTTGCGGAACAGGTGCAGGGCCACTGAGCTACATCACCAGCCGTTTATTTTTGAGTGTTAAAGTTTTGGGATTAAAAGTACATTCTGCTTTTGATGATGTTGGTGTCTCTTAAAATTATTACTGGAGAAGGAGATAACCATCTGTCTTGATTAATTACGAACCTAACATTGTACTATCTGGCATTTTCATGACATATAGTACAAAGGTATTGGAAATATATGGCAGGCCCTGTAAACGTTTTTATCGCAAAAAGTGAAAGTATAAACTTAAAAGTTATATAGACAAAGAAGAAATAAATACAAATTAAAACTCTCACAATCTTCATAATGAAGTAGAATAGTACTACCCTATTATATAATAGACTGTTTTATTCCTGTTTACTTCAACTGTACAAAAACTTTAGTAGATTGCCAAACCAATGGTGCCATGAATCTATTACCCAGTAGTAATTTTCTAGTTTTTTCCTTATGCATATATTTATGCTCTTTTTTAAAAACTAGAGTAGTCTTAACATGTGCCCATGCAAAAGCTTGTACACAAATGTTCACGGCAGCATTATTCATAATAGTCCCAAAGTGAAAATAATCCAAAGGTATATTAATTGATAAATGAATAAACAAAATGTGGAATCTGCATACTGTAAAATGTTAGTTTGTAAAAATGAAGTGCTGTTATGTGCTGTGATATGGATGAGTATTATTCAAAGTGAAAGATTACAACATACAATTAACAGCATTTTGTAGGTTGTATATTCTCATTTATATGAAATGTCCAAACTGTCAAATATCTATAGAGACAAAAATTAAATTAGTGGTTGCTTGGGGCTTTGGGAGAGGGTAAGGAAGGAGAAATGACTTCTAATGGGTACACAGTTTCTTTTGGGGTTAATGAAAATGTCTTAACATTGCATCATGATGATGGTTGCACAACCCTATAATTACACTCAGAACCTATGAATTATTCACTTTCAATGGATTAATTTTCATGGTATGTATATTATATCTCAGTACGTTCTCAAAAAATTTTCTGGAGCTGGCACACACCTGTAATCCCAGTACTCTGGGAGGCAGAGGTATAGGATAGCAAGTTTGAGGCCAGCCTGAGCTATTTAGTGATTATGAGAGACTGTCTCAAAACCGAAAGAAAAGGGGCTGGGAATGCAGCTTACTGGGGAAGGCTAGGCTCAGTCTCCAGGACTGGGATGGGGGAGGTCTTACAGACACACTTTGTTACAGCAGCAGTAACAGTGCCGGAGAACAGTTAGACAGCTGACCTCTTCCTTTTGTGGTCCCACCCTCCCTGTATTTCTGTGCTCCTCTCATTTAAACCTGAGGAAGAATGTTGCTCGACTGTGGTTATTTTCATATAGAATTTTTCCTGCTTTCGGTGTGGTTCGGACCTACTATGTAATTGATATCAGGAGCCCACAAATGAAAATAAGACTGGAGCAGCAGTACCCACCTTCAATAATATGCTTTCTTGATAGCCCTCTTTCTGTTTCGGCTCTGCAAGAAGAAAGGAGATAAATGACTTTGAACGGAGGTGTGCTTTTAAGAAAGCCCTATCTCAAACTGCAGAGGAATAATTATTCTTAGTCTGAAAAAAAGCATGTTTTAAAAGTGTGTTGTAGGCAAATTCCATACCACTGGATGCTGAGGAGGGTAGGTGCGTGGGCAACATATCTAGCAATCCCCTTTTCTATAGGGACCCATGAGATCAATTAAGCACGACTGTCACCGTGCCACGAATGTCACTCAGCTTGAGGTTCAGGTTCATAACTCACCTACCTGCTCCCTCTCTGTAAATAATTTGACACAGTCCTCAACCACCTCACCTTGTTCTTACCCAGCCTAAAGAAGAAAAAAGCCTTACATAAATAAGTCTGTGCATTTACTCTAAGCTGGCTAGCCTGTTGAAATCATTAATTTATCTAAGAAAGGAAGCAAATTTGAAAGCGCCTTTGACTCCCAAAGAAATTTAGCAACTATTTTCCCCTGAAGTGTGATGAACCAAGTTTTTCTTCAAGTAGTACCCTAAGAAGACAGACCTTTACTCATGGCTACTCCTGGCCTCCCCGATACTTCTCAAACTCTGAACAATTAGAAAAAAAAATATGGTGGTCGAATTTTAAAGTATACATGAAATGTTTCTTCAGCATCAATACTTTTGGCAACCTCTATTTAAAATATAGCAGTTTACCATTCACCTTTGTGAATGTCCGTATTCTGTATCTTTCATAAATATGTTAGATAATATTGCAAGTAGTATTCTGCTTGTGGCTTGGTTCATTTCCTGTTTATTCATATGCCGTGGGCACGGTTTTGTATGCTACTGCAAAAGTAACAGGCAAATGGCACAGTGAGTCAGAGGACAGACAATGAAAATCCTTATTTGCCTTATTTTTGACAATAAGGAATAAAAATCTAAATTCCATCTTTTTGTCTTCATATCATGACTAGCAGCTTGAAGAAAAACTATAAAATATAAGTGTGTATGCATTGTGATTAGAAGGTTTCTAAAGAAAGGCCTCTGCTGTTTTTTTAAAAAATATTATTCCCTATCAATTATAGGGAAGTAAATAAGATGTGATCATCTCCATTTTTGTTAAGACTGTAGCATCCTTGAGATTTTCACGCAAAGCATAGTGCCAGTCATTGCTCTGGTGTATAGAATATAGCTTGCAGTTTTCTAACTTGTTTGTCAGAAAGGCCAGCCTCTGGTTCTTGCTGAATAATGTAAGTAACAGTTCAAACACCAGCAGGCAGGCCCATCCGAAGCCAACTCATTCTGTGAAATATGATCTGCATTCCACAGCAGAAGGACTTCTCTTTCATTGGCCTGACAGTGAGTGACGCAGGGATAGCTTCCTGTCATTCTCCAATGAGATAGTTCTTCTGATCAGCACTTTGAGAGCCCTTTGCAGAAATGATCAGAGACTTAATGGAGTCAGACAAGGTATTTTTATCTTTGTGTTCTCCAGAAGTCTCTGAGGTTTGGCATATTAGAGTAGCTTTTCTTCTGTGATGCTTTGTGCTTATTTTCTTTCCTTGAAATTTGAATTCTATTTTGGAAATCACTGTAAGTATGACACTGATATTTGAAAAATTTACACAAATCACTTGGTAATAAGTAGCCCATGCAAACTTCTTTGGGAATATCTTGCTAAAATTGAATCCTGGGCTAAGTGCTATTTCCTTAGCATAAAAAAAAAAAATTCACCTCTGTAAGCCAATTAATTTTAGTGTAAGTTAGATGTAAAGTAGTTGGTATAATGGATCAAAGCATGAATTACTGGTTGTTTCTTATCCAGTAGGGAAATAGAAAGGTATTTAACTTACTTTCCACCCCAGTAGAGCTTAGTTGTTATGACGAGGCTGGATCTCCTGCATGTCAAACAGACACAGAATTAGTAGACGTGCTGCAAGTTATTGGGCTGAATCACATTATCATTATAGCACCAGAAGGAATCTGTTATTGTGCCTCCCATTTTAAAGAACCAATTGAGAGATAAGTTTGTTGATTCATTTCACTGAAATGTAAAGATAAAGGGAAGCCAGTGAGCCCTGACTTGACATCAGACCCCAGAGGAAGGGGAGGAAGAGAAACGTCTCTACCTGGAGCTGCTAGAGGAGGAAGAGGCAGTGGTAGCAAGCCCTGAGTGGTGGTGCAAAGGGCAGCTGCAGCTGAGTAGAGGTTGGCTTGAAGGGTCGGAAACATACAGAAAATATAAGTGAAGCATTGAAAGGATGCGCTGCTTTGGAGGCTCGATGGAGAACCACTCATTAGCACTGATTTGGCACCTGGCCTAATGTTGATTGCCTGTGACCTTGTCCTAGGAGGAAAGTCCACTCTCTGCCAAGGACCACAGACCCTTGTTGCTCTTGATTTATTTTCCTATCCAAGCATCACAGTCACAGGCAGGAACTGACCTCACAGAGAGATGAACGGTGAGGTAAAGTCTGAGAGTCAATAAATATTTTCTTTGAGTGTCTTCTTAAAAACAAATATCATTTTAACTGCCGCCTGCCTTGCAAGTGCAAGGACCCGAGTTCGATCCCATACCAACAACGAGAAGAAATGTCATTTTAAGAAAATAGTTCTAAAATCTTTAACTCATCGTTCTACCACTTTATCAATAGGAAAGTTCAATGTGAAAATCTTGTCGGCAAACTTGTTACCTTCTCAAAACCACACCCAAGGGCAAGAAATGCAGTTGTAGTGTTATGATCATGGAATAAAAAATATGGTCTTCAGAACCGTACACATGGCATTGAATAGGGAGGCGGAGCTCAGTGCAATTTAGTTTCTCTAGGTATATAATTCAGTTGAACCGGTCTGGAAAAAACTCATTTGAGATTCAAAGGTTAAGACCAAACTTTGGGATTATTTGAAGTAAAACATTTATAATTCTATCAGCAGCGGAGTCGATTCCTTGAGATACTTACTCAAGTATAAGAGCCTAGCGTGGTTAATGATTTCAAGTGGGGGATGACAGTGACAGTTCTGACAGCCTCGTTGCAACAAGAAAAATTTGTTGCAAATGTCAGCAGCCCCGTCCCACTGAAGTTAATTCCCTGAAAAGTAATTTGAGGCATGGTAATGGCAGAGCTACAGATATATACACCTGGGGATTACACACCTCGAAAGGGCTGATGAAGTTTCCAGGCTAATCCATCAACCTCTTGATACCTGTTCTAATAGCAGTCTGCCACAGGAGCCGGATCTCCTTCACAAACACTTTCCACCTTCAGTAAAAAGCTACGTGGAATATTATTAAAAACAAATGCAGCCTCTCCATCATTCACAGCAGTCAGGTCGGCCAAAGATTCACATTCTACCCCAAAACCATCACACACTTATTTCTCCAAAGTTAGGCTTTCTGTGAAATGTTTGTCCCATGTAGTGGGCACATCAACGCTTGTATTCATGTGGGAAGGATACACAGCAAGCTGGTGAATTATCACTGCCTCTCATGGGGGTTGAGTGCCTCTTTGGAGCGGCTGGAGCATGGCAGCGTGAGTGTTACACAGGGACCCAGCACGGTCCTCAGTAGATTTTGAACACCTTATCTCACTTTGTGAGCACGGCACTTCATGAACAGTTATGCTATGCATTTTCTAGGTAAGGAGATTGGGAATCAGAAAAGTGAAGTAACTTGCTCTGAATAGAGCAGCTAGTGAGGGGCAGCAGCAGGATGAGAAGTCCTTGTGTGGTAGTGGAAACAGCTTTAGGGGCTCAGGGCTGAGGTGACATAGTTTATCTTTTCACCAGTCTTCTGGGGGCACCTGGGAACTGCTGTGAACATTCTGTACCATGCTGATAGCTCAAGTCTATTTGCAAGGCGGAAAGGCAGCTTGTGAAATACACATATCAGTCTATTTTCCACAAAAGATATGTCTAATAGGTTTGCAGTTATGAAGAGTATTGATTAAATGATCTCTGGATGCTGAGGGGGGAAAAGAGCCACTGCACACAGGGAGTAGAAGTAGATGCCTTCTCTTCTTCCTCAGCAGCCTGCACCTCACTGCAGGGCTCCTTGCACTGTCCGGGCTCATCTCCAAAGTTTTTATTTAGGATTGAATTGTGCCTCCCCCCAAGAAGTACTAACACCCAAATACAAAAGTACTAACCCCCTGTACCCGAGAATGTGAGCTTAATTGGGAATAAGGTCATGCAGATGTAACTCGTAACTGTGTTAAGGTTAGATCACACTGGAATTGAGTGGGCCGCGAATCCAATATGACCGGCTTTCCTACAAGAAGACGCATAGACACACGGGATAAGAATGCTGTGCTGGGACGGAGGCAGAGGGCGAGGTGCTGCAGCTGTAAGCCAAGGAACAAAGAAGATGGCTAACGGTTGCCGGTCCCCACCCGAAGCCAGGGAGAGGCAAGGGAGGACGTTATGTAGTGTCTCAGGGGAAGCGTGCCCGTGCCCACATCAGAACTGTGCAAGGATAAACTTCTGTTGTTTAAGCCTCCCAGTTTGTGGTGTTTGGTTACAGCAGCCCTCAGTGGGGCAGCGTTTTGGTCAAGGTGGAGGACTGGGTGGGGACTGAATATTTTTCCGTATTTAAGGCAGAATCAGTTTTCTCTCAATTCTCCCCGGGGGGTTGGGGAATGGAGAGACAGAAGTAGGTCACTAAATTTTCTTTGTTCACATCTTCAAAAATGCCTCCTTTTCCATTCCCACCAGGCCCTCTGTTCCTACCAAGCATTTATCTCGGAGTGAGAACCAAGCAACCCTGAAAATTCAGGGGCTTCAGTTTCACCCTTCTAGTTTCTCCTCCCAGAGGAAGTTTAAATGGTACCTATAGAGGTATAATACCAGCAATATTGAGCTGTACCCTTTGAGAATGCCCATGTTTCCTACGCTAAATAAAAAAAATATATATGTATGAGTACAAACCTTTTGGCATAGGTTTTTTTTTTTTTTTTTTTTGTACTGGGGATCAAACTCAGGACCTTGCGCTTGCAAAGCAGGCAGCGGAACCACTGAGCTAAATTCCCGGCCCTCTGTATAATTTTCTTAACTAATACTAGAGAGCTCTTATTTATTTGGCAGAGAGGTCCCGAAGCTTGTATGATGGGCTTTCCCTCATTCTGTGCCCTTGAGGAGAAGGGGCTACCATGGCTGACAACCTCTGTGAAATGTAGGGGTACTGCTCTCCACCCTCACAAGAGGGTGCTGCCCCTTGCTTTGGCTACAGAAAGTGAGGGCATGGGATAGGTAAGCATATTCTTTGTGTTTCTTGGATGGCCCCTCAGAGATAGCAGCTCTTTTCTAGATGCCTAGATAATAAGGATCCCAGGCACACAGGACAGATGCTAGCTGATTGTATTCAGACAGGAAAGTCTGCCGGTATTTATCCCAAGGGCTTCCTGTTTCATCATTTCTTTGCATCCACTGTTGCTAATAAATGATGAATGTCAATTTGGTGTATAAATAATCAGTCCCCTGCAGCTTGCTTCCTTCACCAAATTACCACAAAGGGCAGTCAAAGCCATGAAAATGCCACTTTATTTTATGCACAATTATTTCATGAACACTCCTCTTTCTTTGCTCAACCTCATAACAATTCATTGTGATCAATAACTGGTCATAATTTTTGAAGCACAAATAATGAACTTACTGGCATTTATTTTCAAACTATTGTAAATTATTTTCCAATAATTAATTTTTTGACAGCTTTTTCGCCAGGTGTCATATGATTTTATTTTCTGTTCTCTGGCATAAAATACTCTTTTAAAAGTAAACAAACAGTTATGGTAATGCAGTACCTCCAGCCTTTCTTCTTGATGATACTCCCCAGAATCACCTCAGCCCTGGAGGGAGAAACAGATAATGCATTGGAATGTGATATCCTGGAAAAGCAAGAGTCAACCCAAACTCCAGAGTCATTCCTAGTTAGAACTCTCAGTGCCTACATATCCCGAAAATAGAAGCTGCTCTTGGCTGGTAGCAGTTTCTGCTCTTTCTGCTTGTGCCTGCAGAATCCTGCTCTGGAGTATTCCAGAAGCACCTGCCAAATCCTGACATGCAGGCAGGAGACCGCCTGCAGTCCTGATACTAAGAAACAGCAGAGTCATTTGGCAGTTTGGTGTTTCTGAACCACTGATCCCATGTATAGATGTCCTGCGTAGTGGTATGGACTGCAGAACAATTCATTTGTGACCAGGGAAGACACAAAAACCTCACATTGTTTAGACAGAAAATACTGACCCCCAGGTGACCTTGAGGATAAAAAAAGAATCATCATGGGATTTAGATATCTCAAGGCCAGGATTGAAGGTGCAGTGGTCCACATGAGAATGTGCTGGGATCCAGTAACCAACTTTGTCAGAGGAGCACGATGCTGTATAAGGAGACGTAAGAAAATATTCTTTCTGCCCCTCAGGGTGGGTGGTGGGTGGTGGAGAGCTGTACTAAAGACATCACTCTTTTGTGCTTCCATCCACCTCCTCGACCTGGGACCCAGGGTTGAAGAAACTAAACTGTCAGAGGCTTGGGAATGAGGAGGTCAGTGAAGTTAGCACTTTGCCCTTTATGCCGCGGATGGGAGGCATCATTCATCGTTACTCATCTTAACAGAAAGTTCTGTCTTTGTTAGAGGGTACAGCTTGCAATAAATCACGATGCAGATGAGCTGAGAAGTATTCCCCAACTGGACAGGCGTCGAGTGTCGCTGGTGTTCTGTGCATCTCTTCGTGTCTGTCTTTGTGACTACTGTCGTTTGCCACCTTGCCTTTCACCTTCTCAGTTGCACCGTGTAATCAGTCCGTAATCAGAATAATGATGCCTCACAGTAGGAATGCGAACAGGACCCTGGTAGACTTGCTGCTCATTCCCCCTGTTTTCTACCCTGGACCGTCTTGTACTGAGCAGGATTCAGTAAGGATGAAAACAGCGGGAATGGTGGGGTAGAAAGAGCAGGGTTTCATAGCTTTTACTTTTTCTCCTTGGAGTCAATAGGAAACAGCAGAGATGTGGGCTTTGAGCCTCCTTGGTGGCTCTTAAACTTCAACCTGACCTTGGAAAGGAGGAAACTATGTAAGGAAATTGCTGAATGGATGAGGAACCTGATTTGGCAGGTCCAGTAGTCTGATTATAATCCTTCCCTGCAGGAGGGGAATTAGGCTATAGGTGATTATGTTCCACAGTCCTTTCAGGGAACGGCAGAGCTGCTCCAACAGCTTGCTAGATGTTTAGTTCCTCTGATTACAGGCGGTGTACCTGTATGTTCACTCCAGGAGGCCAGGGCCCGGTATATATTCTGAAATGTGCTGGATGGCAGGATTGGAGGCCCGGCCTGAAAGCCCATCTCCTACATATTTGCTGTCCTAGTGCCCCAGAGCTGCACTCCAGTCCCAGGGGAGGCTCAGCCAGAAGAGCTTCCTCTTGTAAAACAGGTGAGGCCTTGCTGACACCTTCTCTGTCCTCAGAATGGGCTCTGAAATATCTTTTTAGAAAAGCTATTGATACCTCGGCCTCTTTGGGGAATCCCACCTTATGTCTGATCTGCCTGGAATGCTAATGTAGGGTTAGGCAGGCACACAGGAGCCTCTTTCCCTGCGAGGAGAATATCCCAGTTCCATTGGGGGCTTGAGCAGCTATGAGATACAGTTATGAAACAGTGGGGTGGCTTTTGAAAAACCGTGTTGAGCATTGCTCATTCATTTTCTTACTCAGATATTCAGCTAACATTGATTAATCTTTGCTCCTACCACACTGGCACCACCACCTCTGCCCTCATGCAGATGGCAATTGCTTACTGGTCCCTCCTCCCTCCAGTGCATTTTTATACAGAGATGGACAGAGGGGGACAGAGGGGCCAGGCATGGTCAATGTCCTTACTGCACGTGATGCTGAAAGGATGGGAGGAGCAGTACCATGGGGCCTGTGGGCAAGGGTATTAGCCACTTCCCACCGGTGTCTCAGAAATGTCCGGGCAGACGCCCTTGGTTCCACAGATGCCACTGACCAGACTCAAACAGGTTCTAACTTACTTTCCAGCTGCATAGACCTCAGCAGTATCGAAGAGGTTAACACCACTTTCATAGGCAATGGTCATCAGCCTTTCAGCAACCTGCAAGCAGATGCAGAGGTCAGACAGAAATGCCACACGGTCTCCAAACCCGAGAAGCCCCTTGCAAATCCTTTACTGACTTTGAAGGGTACTGAAATCTCTCTAAGTACTTCTTGCTTTTCTCAGTTGTCGGGACAGAGGAAAAGGAAGCCTTGAGCTTACTGCCCTTGGTCACAGAGCAGGCAGTCACCTCCCTGAATTGCTGGGATTGTCCGCCCTTAGAGCACTGGGAAATGGGCAGGTGTCCCACTTGGCTGGGAATTTAATGCCATTTGTAATAAAGGTCATGACTATACCCATCATTTGTTAAGTATTTGCTATCTCTTACTGAAAGGGCTTCATAAATGTCTGACATGCATGGAAAAGTCAGGAGTATTATCTATTTTACATAGGGGAAATCAAGGCTCATAGAGGATGGAACAACTTGCCCAAATCAGGGCGACTGACTGTGCCCAGGACTGAGACGTTCTGTGAGGTGGGACATCAATGCTACAACTAAATTACAAATAAATAAACAAATAGGAAGTAAAGAAACAAAACAAAATCATATAACTACAGCAATAAAATCTTTTAATAAAATGATTACAATTCATTCTAAACTGTTTTAGTCTCTGTTGAACCTGTACATATAATAGATTGACAGTCTCAAAAGCTATTAATAGTCGAAATGTGAAAAATACAAGAAGCAAGATAGAATTGAACATCATCTTGGAGTCAAACTTAACTCTATTTTGTGATTGAAATTCCGTTCCTGTGAAACGTCCGGGTCCCAGGCACAGTATTCTTACCGCACAGCTTTCTGTACTTTCTTTTCACCAGCACAGCAGATACTCAAGGTAACTTACCTCATCTGAAATTTGACCTCCAAATGTCACCCATGTTCCTAGAAAAGAATACATATTTGAACATTATTCACTGTCATTTTTCTAATGCTGTACATAGTAAGACAAAACTCTTTCTTGTATCAGGGCCACCCCAATAGGTTGTACAGAGTTCACCAAGGGGACTAGGCCAGGGCCACTTGTGGGCTTCTGTCTGGTCTGTCCTAAGTATTCCAGAAGGTGTCTGCTTTCTTCTGGAGCAGGGCCACCCATTCTTCACCAGAAGCTACCCTACATGCTCCTGTGTCCCTGTCCTAAATGAAGTTCGCTTTCTGCTATAAACCATGGCTGCTAGTGTACAGGAAGGCAGTGCTATCAAGCCTGCTTTGGCCACGCACCCATTCTTCCTTGTCTTAGCTAAAAGGCCACTTGTTCTGAAATCAAAGCGAGAACAAGTGTGTAGCCGAAGCAAGCCCGACTTTGCATTGCGGTCTTCCCTTCCTTTGCCTCCAGTGGGGGCTCTGTTTGGGTTTCCCTGTTACCTTTTCAGAAAGATCCCTCTCAAATGTCCTTCTAGTCTTACCCCCTCTGATGTGATCTGTCCTTCCAGAAGAGAAAAGCCCACTGTTTGGGGGTAGGAGAGGGGTTAATAGTCGAGTGAGGATTGGGAAGACAGAGGACAGAGAGCAAACCAGCAGCTGAAGAGCTGCCTGTGCAAAGCACAAGGTCCCGGGTTTGACCCCTGGTACTGAGAAACAAACAAAACAAAAACAAACAAACAAAAAAAGAAAGGAAAAGAAAAGAGCTGCCTGTGTAAAGCAAGAGGCCAGCAGATACCGAGAGTTGACCGCTCCAGTTCCCAGTCATCCCTTTGTTCAATCCCTCGTTATCCCTTTGTCCTAGTGCAGGCCAGGGAAAGACACTGCCCCACATGCCAGGGACTGTGAGGTGAGGGGCGCAGCTCCCATCACCCAGGAGCTCGTAGCTCCCAAACCCTCAGGATGCACACTGCTCAGGCAGCAGGGAGGGAGCGCTCGGAAGCCTCCTCGATGAGCGACACCTTGCTTGTTTCTCACAGGAATGACCTGAAGGAAAAAGGAAGGGACAGACAGTTCCGGTACATACAGGAGCTTGGGCAAGATAAGGAGGCAGAAGAGTTAAGTATGGTAATGAAGTAGGTGTGGTCATTAGGAGAGAGGGGACCGGCGTGGGAGCAGCTGTTGTCAACTTATTAATAACAGTCATAGCTACTGCTTTGGAACGCCTTCCAAATGCCACATAGCATGCTAAGAAATGCTTCTCTAATCAGCTTGACGAACTCAAAAGCTTATAATTTTATTACCCATGTTTCCAACGAGAAACTTGACGTTAACCCAAGCTTGAAACATCTGAGTTTCCCCCCAGTACTCCAGGTTCAAGAAGGTTGTCCTGTTTACTGCAACACATTGTGCCATTAAAATATTTCCAAGTTACTCATGATGCTTAGGTTTCACACTTCACAGAAGTGTGCTGATGCGATTATATTTTTCTCTTTAGTTCTCAGGAGAGGGTATAAATTGTTTTACTGTTATGTGCTACATCCCAGGAGGTTATCAATACGTGGCTAACAGCTTGCACTCGGCTTACAAGGCTTGATCTGCTTAACTAGGATGGAGTTGACCCACTTAGTATTCTAATAAATTTTGAATGAGTTACTAGCATTGACACACTTATAGGCTTTTTCTTAAAACTCTCTGACTTCTAGCCTCTCTTGAGAACAGATAATCAGTGTATCCACAGGTGGGCACGCCCTAATCTTGCATGGCAGCCCCTTCTCTGAAGGGACATTCTCTCCCCACGTAGTTAAAGCCCCCCATCTGCTGTTGTAGTCACAATATTGAAGTCAAATAGTTATTATTACTACATGTCTAATGGCGTTTTCTTTCTGTAAAGTTAAAAGGAAAATGAACTTTTAGTATTTTTTTTTAGCTTTAATTGAGTTTATTGGTACATTTTAGGGGTACAGTACAGTTACATTCATTGTTAGCATCTTGTACCTCTACATGACAGGTCTTGGTTCTCATTTTTTCCCCTTACCTCTGCCCTCCCTTCACCCCCTCCTCCCTTCCCCATCTACAAACACTTTATTTTCATCTTTTCATTATCTCACATTTTTTTCTTTTCCCTTATTGCCCTTCCCCTACTCATCCCACCTTCCCTACACCTTTAGCTCCTTTCTTCCCATTTCTAAATGTCAGTAATCTTGTTAGGAACTTGTAGTATTTTAAGGACAAAGTAAGAGTGTACATTCTTTTTGGTGGATGGGAAGAAGAGTATCAAAACAAATAATTTTTTTAATAGAAAAATCACATCTTCAGGCACCACAGTAAAACCAGCTATGGCTGGTGTACATAAAAGATAGGTGTTGAAAAACTTAATGGACTGGAAAAATGGCAGCACTTGTTTTTGAATAAGAATAAAATAAGTGAGAGGCCATGAAATGCAGCTCTCTAATAAGTGAGAAAACTGCCTGGGTGGCTAAGCCTTTTTACAGGCAGTGCATTTATAAAAGAATCTCTTTTGAATGCTGTGGAAATTATGTGTCCAGATAATAAACAAGCATTTGCAAATGTTAGTATAACTAGCAACTTTGTAGCTCAGCATGGTAAAAATATGGTAGAGAACTTTCCGGACAAGTTCAATTATTGGTGGCATTTTCTATCGCAGCCTGTTAACTGTATGTATATGTGCAATAATGAGAATTTTCAAGGAGGTCAAAGAACTTTCACACAAGATGTCCATGAAAGGAAAAACAGGAGGGAAAGAACTTTGTGTGATAAAAAAGATCTTAGGCTATTTGGAAATGGAATACACTGGTCAAAATCACTGAGTGTTTACTAGAGATAGGGCTCTCAGGATGGGTAGTGTTGCTTTTGAGCTGGTCAAGGCATCGGCCAGAGGTGGTACTATTTGGTAGGGATGCTACCCCTGGGTCCATTAACTCTCTCATTCAACAGGAATTGCTTTGGGCTAAAGAGCTAAAATGGGACAAGGCGTGGACTTGGTAATTAGTACCACAAATTAGCTATTTTTCTAAGTCTTCCAGCAAAATCAGGTCAGTGTTTGCTTCATGAATATGCTGACTTAATTGTACTGTAGTTTTTGAAGGGTTTTTATTTTTAACTATTCATGTCATCAAAGAGAATAGTCCTATATCCACTTGGCAGTGAAGATTGGCCGGATATTTCAATTTATCTATACTTTTTGAATGTTTCTTCAGAGACATTCACAAGTACAAGTGCTCCTTGACTTACAAGGGGGTTATGTCTGAGAAATGCATTATAAAATGAAAATGTTATAGATAAAAATGTATTTTGTATATCAAGTATCATAGCTTAGCAACGCAGCCCACTATAGAATACTGGTTGGTTTTGTGATCTTGTTGACTAGGAGCTGTGCTTTCCTGATGCCCGACATCATAAGAGAGTATTGTATCACATACAGCTAACCCAAAAGATCAGAATTCAAAACTGAAAGTATGGGGCTGGGAATAGAGCTCAGTGGTACAGTTCTCACCCAGCGTATGTGACGCCCTAGGTTCTATCCCTAGCACTGCAAGCAAAGACCAAACAGAAACAAACAAAAATACCAAGCAAAACACATACACACACACACACACACACACAGAGAGAACAAAAACAAAAATGAAGTACAATTGCATAATCAAAAAGTTGCAAAACTGTAAGTTGAAAAAAATCATGTCAGACCATTTGTATTATACAAATATCTCATTTGCTTCTCTGAGTCCTGACAAAATTGAGACTTTGGGGAATTCATTTGCTAAGAAATAATTTGGTCCACTTTCCTACACTGCAATCAGCTTCTAAAAATGAAAATGATAGCTTCAAATTCATTTTCCAAAACTGTGCTGTTGAAAACTGGATTCTAAAAAAGCTCTCCTCTAATTTCAAACTTCATGAAAAGCATAATTTAGTTTACCTTTCATAATTAATTTTTGACAGTACTAATGAAGGGCTATTATTTGACATTATCAGAGTGTAGTACAAATTGGTACTGAAGACTGAAAAGGATGAACACTGAAATCTAGGACTGTAGCCACGTCTTAGAAGAGGTCATTCTATAAGTAAGAACCACTTACAATGATTCTACCCATTTTAGGCAAAACCTATGTTTAGGTACAGTGCTATTCCAAAAAAAACCACCTTCCACCCCTGGTTTAAATATTTAAGGCTGCATTCTGTACATCACAGTGGAAAAAATGCACAGAAGGTATTAGGGCAATGTAATAATGGATTATGAAAGAAAAATTGAATGCTAATTAAAGGTTTTTTCTTTTGTTAGGAAAACCATTAAGATGAGATGTGAATAGCTTACACTTGTATTTTATCTTGTTACTTTTATGGTTTGAACATGGTTTATGTCCTGCCAAAGGCTCACGTTGGAAGGTGGGCCCCTTGGGAGGTGGGGGGACTTCTAAGAGATGAGACTTAGCAGCAGGTCCTTAGGTCACTGGAGGCACGAGGTAGTTCTCCTGTCGCTGACCCCTTGGCCATTCCCATGAGATGATTTTTGTAAAATGACCAAACCTGGCCACTGTTCTCTCTGCTCCTGGTTTGAGATGTGATCACTTCCACTCTCCTCCATAAGTTCCCTCCATGACATGACACTATTGGCTGCCCTCACCAGAGGCCAAGCTCATACCCTCCTGACCGCTCCCTCCTCACCACCGAATCTCGAATTTCGCCCTCCAAGACTGTGTGCTGAACAAACTTCCGTTTCTTCATAAGTTGCACATATTGGGTATTTTGTTATAGTAACGAAAATTGAATACAGTTACACACTTGCACCATAGCCTAACAAAAAAATAAAAAGGGTTTCCATTCCTGAAAATCTGCAGTGCTTAAATTCAACTTCTAAGTGGTCTACTTCTCAGCTCTTAGTCTTTGCTACTTATTTGTTTTACAGTTATTATAGATTTTAAACATCTTTACTGAGGGTGGAGACTTTGTATCTACACAGCCCTACAACAGAAGTGGGTCTATAGAATATAGTAAGTTAATGT